GAGTATGTGCTGTTTCCCTGAAGGCATCAAGCATTCCAGGCGCGTTAAACGGAAAATGAAATAACATAAAATTCAAGAACCATAGAGTGATAGTCAGAAAGTCATAACTTCGGGATCAATCTGACGTTTGGTTGTGAAGTTATTATTGATGACAGGAACTTGTCCGTGAATAGCACAAATTCTATTTGAAATCTATGTAGTGTGTTAGGATCCAAATCCCCTCATTCAGGGCGAGTAACGCCTGACCACTGTAGTCGGAAAGCACTATTTACGATTGCAGAATCCTGAAAGTCAATCGTTTGGTTTAATCCGGTTCAATTAGTCTGCGTTACCGACTAGTTCGGCACACAACAATCTGTCATTACACAAAACCGACAGATCTCTAGTTATCTATTTATTTTCTATTATTTCTTTTAACTTACCGAAAAAGAAAGTTGATAAAAGGTACGACGAACACCCCCTTCCTTTTTACATGGGAGTGCACCCCCCCCTTCCCACCACAATCCCCGTCTTTAATTTCCTTCTTTTTAAGCGTTGATTTGTAGATAATTCATGAACTTCCGTACAGTAGTTCATGAACTTGGTACAGTGATTCTTATTCGGTTTCCTGCCGCCTGTGGCGTGCGCTTCAACAGCGAATATAAATATACCGCCTGGAACGAACCATGACGAATAGTTAGCAATTAATACTACGGTGCAATCACTTTATATACCGGAGCAGGCCCGCTCAGAATCGCCCTCTGTTCCCCGCGAGAAAATGGTGATCTTTGTGCAGTGTTTGTGGTCAGAATTTTGCCTCAGCTTGCGTGATCTTAAGATTTACTTGTTCGATAATGCAGCTGGAACCAGAATGCTACCTAGCAACCGTTCCTGTGCCTTTTTTCGTGTTCCTTTTTTCCCCTGCTATGCAGCTCACCGGGTTGGCCTCTAAAAGACTAAGTAGCTCCCCAACAATAGGATATTAATGTCGAGGAAAAGGTTGTTATTCATCGTAGTAGATGCAATAATAAAGTGTATTATCGTTTGTCTCAC